CCTACTAAAATAGACAGGAAAAAGTTGGTAGCCTTATTCTAACCTCTCTACTGGAGGACCTAGGAGTCCGTGTCCGAGTCGATGCGGCACCGAAGTGGCCCAGTGGGAGTGGAAAGGGGCCGTTGGTATTTTTGGGGGGGACCTTGCGAACAAAAGACTTGTTGGGGCGGTTTAAACCTCAGATCCGTTTCGGATGAAGCTGTTGTGTTTTCATCTTGGACGGGGACCCTGAGGACTTTCCAGCATCACGTTGTTGGCCAATGATTGGACTTGCTTGGACATCTAAACCGTTGCATTCAGGGTTGTGGGATCACTCGGGGTTTATCCAACCACTTCTGTGATACTTTTGGGAATCCCCCTTTCTATGAGCAATTTAGTCTTTGGGAAGCCCTTTCTGTTGTATCATAGTGGTCATTCCCCACGGCCCTGGTTGCATTCGATACAGGTCAAGAGGATCTCGCAGCCAACGAGCTACTCGCAACTCTCCGCGCTGCCCGAAACGTCAGCAAGTCTGCCCGGATTCGGAATGCCCTGATGGAAGTCACCAGATGCTGCTTCCACTTGCTGGAATCTACGTAGGGATTCATTGGACGTGCCCTTGACAAGCTGCATCACCTATCCTCGTTGGGCAGCTTTGCTGGGGCCAGAGGCCACTTTTTAAGCGTGCCGGCAAGGGGCTTTTTGGCCAAACGCCACAAGAAAGACAGCCGGTTCGGTTTCTTGCTCTAAGCCTCCGGATCCTGCATTTTGGCGGTTTTAAGACAGCACCTTTTTGACCCATGAAAGGTGAGTGTCCCTTGGTGGGGGTGATGTTTTATGGGGAAATACTCAGATTGGAGTGCCTCACCTGAGGGATTTGCTTGGCCCCTTGGCCGGCACAGCTATAGAGGTTTCACTGTGGCCTTGATGCAGCTGGCTCGAGATGCAACGGCATGGTGGAACGTGCTACATCGCCCGGTAAACTTAGCAAAAGGAAGCGACAGGGGCAGTATGGTTGCTTTTTTCTGCTGAACGGACTGGTTGGGGCTGAAACCCAAGAATGTTGCTTGGTTCCAACGCGGAATCTTTGAGTTGTTCCAGACCCTCAGCACCCGTTCTAAGCACCAAGAAAGCACAGGAGCCTGCGGGGTGGGGCCGTAGCGCAAGTTTGCGAGGAACACAATGGACTTGACAGCGCAGGGAACTGGTCGCATTCCCAAAGAAATGTCCAACTGCTTGGCCCCTGCCAAGAGCTGGAACGATTGTCAAGACGGGTCCGGTTTTGGGGTGTCCAATGTCACCACCTCTTAAGGGTTCCTCAGCCTTGGTTGTTTTCCATATTTTCCGGGGGTCCATTTGCTTTGTATCTTCTGATCTCAATCACGCCAGAATAGGCCAATCTGATTTGCGAGCCTCCCTTTGGCGGGGGAGGGCGGGGATGTTTTTAAGAGGAAACGAGGGCACAACGCACCGCATGACCAACATGTTTTCCTTTGTGCTCACCGTACGGAAGACAGGCTTGGTTCGGAAGACCTGAGAAAAGAGTTGCATTTTGCTCCCATGGCTCATGGAAAAAGGGTATGGCACTTTCGAATAATCATCTTTCCACTGGCGGCATCAACGGCTGGGTTTGTCAAGAGGAGATGTTGGTCTTCGAGGTACTCTTGTGGCAGGAAGCGCATACCGATGTGCAAATAAAACAAAATCTTCCCTTTCAACATATAGGCATCACAAATACCATGTTTTTGCAGTCCCGTGCATGAGGACTGCCAGCTTCTGGGAACAAATAGGGGCTATAGGTAGACCTGCACGATGACTGGCTAGGTAGACCTGCACAATGACCACTGGCCATGGCAAAGTCCAATCAAACTGGCTCGTTTTTGCCTTGCGTGGTCTCAGGGGAGAGCATGACCCCTTCCAAGCACAAACGGGGGTTGCTGGGCATATTCCGACATTTTCACATGGAGAACGAGCAAGTTTTTGCAGGGCAAGACGCCAGTTTTCGGCTCCTCTGTTCGAGATGCCCCCCCGACGTTGTCTTGTTTTTGCGCATGTGGGAAATCCCACTGGCTTCTTTTTCGGCTTTTGGCTTATACCGCCCGGTTTCGAACTTGGTGTTTGGTGGGTTCACTCGGGGGTCAAGCCCCAAAAAGCGTCAACTCTATGTTTGCTCCCCATTTGTTTTGACAAGTCCAGCTGAGCCTTGTGGGAGACAGTAACGGTTACCACCTCAGGTTCTCAAAGGCGCCTTGCAAACCGGAAGTCATAGATGCCTTTCATGGATAGCTAATTTGTTCAAGCTGAGAGTAAGGTGTGGCGTGAGGAGGTGTGCTAGACTTACGTTAGTCCTAGAGCATGGTCAAGTTGGAGTTTCCTGGCTCGGCAGCAAAATAGGCCAAACACCTGTCTTGCTGGTGCGATAGGTGGGGAATGAGAAATGGAAGGAACCTGGGGATTCCCTTTAAAGGAAAGGGCAACTTGGATGTTTTTTTCAGGATCATTCCAACTCATTCCCCGCATCTCTCGCCTCAAGTTGTGTTCGGCCCGGTCCAGTGCCGTCTTTCTGCTTGAGATCCGCTAGTTGTCATCCGGCAAAAGGAGTGGTTCTGACGCGGGCGGACTTGGACAGCTCAGAAATGGTTTTGGGGCGCTTCCCTGGGGATCCAACTTCTGAGTTTCGCAGCTGGGGGTTTCTCACTCCTCAGTGAATAGGTTGCGGAAGAAAACCCTGGTTGATGAGGCCAAGAAATTGCCCAGCCCTGACGGCCATTCTTCGATCCTTGGCTTGTGATTTGCGTGGCTTCCTTGAGTTTGCACCATGGGTAGAGTAGAGCGACCCAGAGACAGTTGCACCAGCAACTTCGCGGAAGATTTGTTTCATACTGCGGATGGACGAAATCCACTTCGCACCACTCTGAAACCATGAGAAACAATTCTTTGTTGGTCTTTGCAGGGGAATCATTCTTCTCGGGCTTCCTAGGTGGTGCGAATCGGATGTCGTTATTTCAGCTTAGCGGGTGTGTCTTCACCCACTTCACCTCTGGTGATAGCCGACCCCCCTTGACCCTACGATTCTACGAGGCCTTCGGGTCGGCATGGGCGGCTAAGGCGCAGCTGCAGCAAGGAGCTGCAACTGGATCACAAGGAGGTTGCCACTTGGCCGGAGGTGGTTTTGGCCATTTGTCGACTAGCTCCGATGGGATTTTCAGAAATCCAAAGGGAGCAAGTCGATAACTGATAGATGCGATAGATGACGAATAAAATGCCTGGTGCAGTTGGGTGAAAGTAGAGTTCAATGCCCGCTCCCATTTGGGGTGAGTCATCAACTTTACTTGCCCACAAAAATGAGTTCGTGCCATCTACCGCGTAACCCCAGCAAGGGGTACCATTTCTATATTTAGGATAACTGGGCTGAGCCCCTTAGCAGGGTTACAACCTACTTACTAATTTGAACGCCCAGTAGATCAATCCAGTTAGCCCCCCAGCTAGGTGCCCTTTTACCAACTTCTTGGGGAGGGTTCCCCTACTAAAATAGACTAGAGGAAAAGGGGTACCCTTATTCTAACCTCTCTACTGGAGGACCTAGTCAAGGTCCCAGCAGGTGAACATCTTTGGGTCCAAATGACCAAACTGGGACCCAAGCTTAGTTATGTTTGGGTCCAAACTGGGCAGAATTTCCTAGGACTCAACCTGCTCCCCCCTGCTTCAGCCAATGGCGATGGTTTGCTGGCGGGCTCTTCAGGATTTCATCGAACAGGTAAGAGGACTGTTGGAGCTTGTGTTGGGTAAACCGAGCCCATGATTCTCTCCAAAAGTCAATGTGACGACGTGGATGTCCATTTTGCACTAGCAAAACAAAACTGGAATGATTCGATTCTGTCCACCCACACTATGATATTCACACATGGGGAAAACCCCGAACATTCTTTGCTGGACAGAAATCCCAATGTAGCCGGCGGGCAGAGAAATCAATGCAGTTTCTTCCCTTCATGCTTGGCACCCCAAACATCACTGGATGGGATGTTGAGGGTCATTCGGCACCTTACTCAGGGCAATACCTACCAAGCTGTGAGTTTGTTTTGTCTCCATATCTTAGAAAAGGGAGGCCCACAACTCCAAGTCCCGTCAGAGCTGGAGGGACTGCACTTGGTCAACTGGTCGTGTGGGGATGGTCAACCACGCCCGGTTGCACGCGAGCTTTTCAAGCTCGCGGTTCACGGAGGCCCGGGATGTTCCACTTGCGAAGCCTATGGCGGCAAGCTGCAAATTTTCGCGTCCCCAGGCACTTGCGTGAATGGGCTCACTGGCTGGAAGTTCATGTTTTGCAGCTCGGCACAGCTCGAAGGCGAGCAGTGCCCAGATCAATGGCATAGGGCCAGCGCAGGGAGGTCGCAACACGTCAGCTCCACACAAAAACCAAGTACGTGGGTCCAATTTTTGCCCTCGGGGCTGAGGTTACGCCAGAGGCTCTCCTCATGGAGAGAGAGGACCCGAGACAAAGAGTCCGAAGCACGTTCGCCGGAAACAACCCGGAACCTTCCGGCGCGCGATCGGCCAGCTGAAAGTCAAATTGTGGAGTTGGTTGGTGCAGACGCTCGTGTTTGTGCGTGCCTTCCCCGCTCAGAAAAAAATACCCTTGCTTGAATGACCAGGTTGGTAGCAGTTCTAAGTCCTTCGATCGAACAGGGAAGCCCGCGTAGGTTGTTTCCTGCCCGCACGGCATGGGGGATGCATGGGGACTGCATTCAGCAGGTGGACACTACCGCTCAAGGCCTGGTTCACGACCCTCCAAAAAGCTCATTGGAACGAGGCCGACGGCTATTGAAATGTATTGCTTGCACTCTTGGACATGGAAGGCGGTTTGAGTTCGGATGTGCGCAGCCTCGCCTTTGAAGAATCGATCCATTTCCAAGGGGATTCAGGGCCCGTTCGCTGCTTTCCGGGCGTTTGGTTGCTGCCAAGTCGTTTTTTTCCTCGAGAAAACGACTCGCGCTGATGGGTGTTCAATCCGGATGCTGAAAGCCAGGATCTGTTGGCGCAGCAGGGGGCCCAAACCAGCGCAGATGCAAATCACTTGCCCTAGGCACCCGCTGCGATTCAGTCACGGCCCGTCACACTTTCGTAACATCAAGTCAGCTTGCCACAGCTTCGACAGCATACCACTCTGTAAGGGAGTTGTTTCGCAACATTGTTACCGGATCTTCTCCTTAAGATCGACCTTTTGACCCCTTTGGGCTCTAGTCACGGCCCGAGGCGAGCAAAATCAAACATTTTCAGGTCCTTAGACCGGAGAAAATAAATTTTGGCGCAACTTGGGCTCGGATCAACTTCCTTCCCGGGCCGGGCGGAGTTCTCCTCGTTTGGGTCCGAGGCTTGCTCGCAGCCGGCAGCTGCTGCATGAAGTTGCAGAGCAGCGCAGGCATGAGGCCGGAGCCTTGCTGCTTTGGGTCTGTCTTAGCTTGAATACCCCCCGAAAAAAACGGAGGTGTTGCTTTTGCTTGCCCTCTCAAAACCAGAAAAACGGGTGCCACAAAGGAGACACCCCCCCATTTATGGAGTAATTGTCCAACTGGACTGCTGGCTTTCAATTGGATGTGGCTTTTCATAAGATCAACGTATGCTCGAAAGGCGCGTGTTCTGACCAGGGTCCGGAATATCTCCAAACAAATTGATGGGAATCAGAATTGGTCCTGGGTCCTCCGTCTCGGGTTGTTTCTCTTTTTTTTTCGGTTCTCCGGGTTACTTCCAGGAGACCCTCTGAAAACTAGGAGTTTCAGGTGTTTCAATTGCATGAATCAAAAAGCAGGAATGGCTTGCAAAAGGCAGAGTGAACATCAACAACTAGGAGTGGTTCTTGGTGGAAACAATTGGAAACAAGTGTTGTTGTCGTTTTCCTTTGTTTGGACCGGCAATTGTACAACTCTGTACACTATCCCAGCAGTTGTGCAACTCTGCGCTCTCAAGTGGGTATTCCACTGATGTTACTATGCACTCTTAGGAAACTCAGCTTCTCTTTTGTTTTTTTGTTGCGGGAGTTTGCGCGTTTTTGCGGGAGTTTGTGGGCTTTTTGCGGGTGTTTTGCGCTGAGTTCCAGGTGTGGTGCTTTCGGATTTTGCAAAATTGTCGCAAAGGCAATAATTCCGAATTCAGAATAGTTCTGATTTCTACATAAGTGATTCTGATTCAGGTGAACGGTTCTGATTCAGAATACTTCTGAATTGGAGGGTTCCTCCGTCAAGTACTGAAAAAATGCAATTTCTAGAGGTTAGGGTGTGCAAACCCTTTCCAGAAGCGAAAATCAATTTCTAGGAGGTTTACCTTTCTAGGAGGTTTACCTCAAAACCCAGGAGTTTGCAAACTCTGTGTTTTTTCACTGAGACCCTCAAAAAACTGGTAGTCTTCCATGATTCGGCAGATTCATAATCCAGAGTCTTGACCGGATTTCTAATTCGGTTATTGACAGAAGGTATTTCTTTAGCCCTTGTTGGTCTTGTCTTTGGTGCACTAGTGTGGTTGGGCTCGTTTTGACCCTGGTTGGGAGCCGTGGGTGTGGTAGGGATGCTTTGCTCAGGGTGTGGTAAGTTGTCAAAAATCTGTTCGAGGAAAATGTGTTGGTTACCAACCCTGATTTACCTCGTGCTGCGCCTTCAAATGTAGTACATCGAGCCTTGCCAGCCTCCTCACTCAGCCTTGTCTCACCAGCAGGCCACACAGTCCATTGCCAACTGAGCTGGAGACCCATACGGCAAATCAAGCCTGCAAAGAAGAGCTTCTTCCAATTGAAAAGATCTTCCTAGATAAGCAGATGTTCAGGACAAATTTCCCCCGAACACATTTTTGACAGCTTACCACACCTCTGGCTCAGAGTTTTCAAATTGGCGCTGCTCCCCGAAAGCGTGAACACCCAATTCTCACGCCGCTGAGAAAAGGAAATCAAGCGACCACTCTAGGGCGGGCTCGACTAGAACCAATTATGCTGGTCAGTTTCAGTGGGGAGTTGTTTTTTTGGGAGCACTTGAGAGTCTCAAATAAACAATTTCAGGATCTAATTTATTGCTTCATAAAATGTCTTAACACACTGACGAACCGTATCTGCTACCCCTCGGCTGTGTTGCCTTGATAGTTACTGCCGCTGCTTTGCAAGCATAGCATGGCAACAATCCTGCGGGGTGACAATGTTTGTTGTTGTCCTTGTTTGTGGTTGTGTGTTGCTTGTTGTTGTTTGTTCTTGTTCTTATTGTTATTCTTGTTCTTGTGGTTGTGGTGGCGGTTAGGCGGTGATGGTGATATGTTGAGATGGTTGTGGTCACGTAGGTCATTGGTCCCATTGGTGGTACTTGTGCTGGTGCTGGTGCTGGTGCTGGTTCTGGTGGTAGTGGTGGTGGTGGTGGTGGCGGTGGTGGTGGCGGTGGCTGGCTGTGGGTGTGGTGGCTGTGGTGGCGGCGGCGGTGGCGATGTTAAGTATTGGTGGCACTGGTGGGTACAGTTGGGTTGGTGAAGTTGGTACTGGTCGTTCTGTTGGTGCTGATTGTGCAATGGAGCCGGTGGTGCTGACGGCGCTGATGCTGTTGGCGGTGCTGGTGGTGCTGGTGGCAGGGTGTGAGTTTTTGGTACCCAGTGTGTGTTAATTGCTTGCGTTTGCGCGGGGGGTGACTTATGCACCGGCACTTCGTCACCGCTAGCGGTTGACAGCTGAAATGTATGACATGAGCCTGTCTTTAGGCCAGCGCTATGAGTGAGCGCAGCTGATGGATACGCACTAACAGTTTGGGCATGGAAGGTGGCAAGCGAGCAGTTGTGGAGAGCTAAGACCAAAGCAGTTCTGTTTAGTGTTGACCCCGGACTAGCAAACCCCTGCTTATTAATATGGCGGCGTTCCTCTCCAAAACTGTTGAATCGCCACTAAAACCAGGGACGCCCCCATATTAATAAGCACACGGGTTTTATCTCAGTTGTTCAAAGCCGACCTTTTGACCTTTTGGTTTTCCCAGTTTGGTCCATATTTCGTCATGGCCCCAAAAGGTTAACCTTTTAGTTGCAGGTCCTTTGGGCTACTGAGTTATTTCTTTGGGGTCAACATTGCATTACGGGGGTTTCAGCCACTCCATGGCCGTCACGGCAGCTTGGCGATGCAGGAAGCAGCATCAGCTGCAAGGCAGGCGCTGCAAGTGGTGTACAACAAGGTGCGGCACTGACTGACCCCTCCTGACCGATGCATCGGTGTGGAAAAGCAAGCTCATTAGAATGTTCCCTTACTTGTGGATCGCTAAGGTTTCTGAAATGAGGACACAGATCAGTTGAACCTTGGAAGTGCCTTCTAGGGCGATTGCATGGCTTGTGTTCCTCTTGGAAGTGCAGCGTGCTTGCGAGCGCGCGAGGTTGCCTCCAAGTTTCTTTTCTGCCAGCTGTTGGGAAGGGGGTGGGGCTATCCAAATCACTCTTTCAAGAGTCTAGGGAGCTTTTCGGAGAGTGTGAGGAGCTCTGGAAGTTTGGAATAGCTCAGTCGCCCACAGCTTCCCGAACTGCCGCTGAAAGGCCTCGGTTGCCAGGCAGTGGATGTGGCTTCACCGGCTTCGGCACCAGTCACGTGCCCTCCGGGCTTCATTCAGATCGAGGCAAGAAAAAGAAAGAGAGCCGCTTGGGACCCCGAGGAAGCGGGGTCCCCCTTAAATGGGTCTGTGACATGGGGAGCCTCCCAATCAGGTGGCAAGTCCCGGGTTCCGCATCTGTTTGTCTGCGCATGGCATGGTTCGCAGCTTTGGTGCGAGTATGTTTGCCCGAGAAGTGTGCCAGCTGAAAGATTTGGGGAAAGGTCTAGAAAAGCAGACAACATCCCGAGGGCGACTGCCATTTGTGGCTGCAGGAGCCTTTCATTTCATCTCCTTGGCATCCTCCCAAAGCCACGTGGAATGCCCCAGGTGGGGTGGGAGCCTGATGCATGAGATCTTGCCGCAGCGCAAGCTAACTTCCCTTCCACGTCGCGCCTTACGGTTTTCTGGAAAGACAAGTTCAGTGGCACAAAGCTAGTTAGTTGTTTTGCTCCAGATTCACACGGAAGCCACCATTTGTAGAGGGAGCTCCTGTTGGGTATGGAATTTTCTGTTCTTTGCGCTCCAGGCATCCGAGTTTGCACGCCTCGTCCGGGCGCTCAGATCATCCCAGAGGTGTGCTGATCAGTTTCCCATCTTTTTTGAACCTGGAAAAGTTGCAATTTGCTTGGAACACCTACCAAACTGCCAGGTTTGGACAATCCAGCAAGCCCTTTTGAAAACTTATCCTCGAAGATATCTAGGCTGCCTCTTTCGCTGGGAGTGTAAGATAAGATTTTGAGTAGGCTTGGTATTTAACAAGGGGGACGGAGTTTGAGCCGCGTGCAGCTGCCTAGGCAAGATGTTGGCGTAAGGTCTACATTGCGTTCCGGTTCTTTCAACTGACTCCCATGGCCCCTTTCTGCTTCAAAGCCCATCTTAATTTCGCCACCGGCATCTCAAAGCTGAGCTTCGGGGCTTCCCCACTCGAATCTGCACGGGTGTTTCCTACGGACACTACCGAGGGCTTGTCTAAAGGCTAGTGAGCCAAATAGAAGCGGCATTTGCTCTGGCAAGCGCTGCCAGCTTTCGGTCCGCCCAGGGCTCTCAAGTTGTTGTATTCCTTTGTGCTGCGCGTGATCTTCCGCGCTTTGCCATATCCGGATCTGTTTTTGTTCCCACCGAGGTAACCAGTGCATCACTCACAAGATTCTGTTGAATTTGACGGCCACTGCATGCCATTTTCTGTTTGTGAGTAATGTACGCTTGGGACTCTCAAGCTCTCTCAAGCATTGACGCATCCGTTTGCCAAGACAGCACCCAACCTGTCCAACCAGTGTCCTTCTTCTGCATGTGTCAAGCAGCAGCTTGCAAAGCTGGCACTGGTGAATCCTTCTGCCTATGGCCAACACGAGCTTACAATGTAGGTCTTTTACCTGGGGAGGTTCCTTCTTTCCAGTTTTGGGAAAAATAAAACATACAGATTGACGCAGCAATCTGTGGAGTCCATCCATTAGATGTGTGTGTGTGTGTGTTTTGAGGGTACCCCTTTTTGGTTGGAAAAGCGGAACCAAGAAGACCACCCACTTTCAAGGTCCACCCATGTTTCACCCAAACTTCCCCCCCCAAGAGCGCCCGGGCCGGCCTCGGGGCCTCGGGCAGAGACTTCAGGTCGCGGATGCGGCAGTGGCCGAAGCCTCGGGGGGGTTTACAGGGCATCCACTTGGGAACTCGAGGCTTACAGAGTTGATCTAAGAAAACCAGACTTCAACTAAGGGAGGGGATAGTTCGGGTGAACTTCCATTTCTTGTTTCTGTCTGTGTGTGCGTTGCTTCTTTTTTTTTTTGGGGGGGGGGGGGGCGTGTTTTTTGGTTGACCTAAGAAAAGAAACGCTCACAATCAAGAGAATGTCACGTTTTGCTGGGTCTATTCTACAAGCGTGTGCTTGCTCGGGGTGGATTCATTATTCTTGCTTCGCCTGTTTGCCGGGCAAGCCGCTCTGAGAAACCCTGAAGTGGAGCGTCTCGCAGAACGAGCATACGGCAATCTGCTTCTTCGCCTCGCTGAGGCCAAGTCGGTGGCATCTGGACTCTGCAGGCGCGGGACAGGTTCTTAGGCTCTCACCCCCGAACTTTGCGCTTTGGGCAAAGGTGAGCGTGGGCTTTGAGAAACCCTGCAGGAGGGCATCATTGTCAATATTTGTGGCCCCTGAGTCAACAACACGCCCTCCCCCGGACAAGAGTTGGGGAAAACAAGATTTGGAGGCATTTTTTTGCGTGAGAGGGCAAGTTTTGTAGGGGCAAGCAGCCTTTTTAGTTGAGGAAAGCAACAGCTTGGTTTTCGAGAAGGGTGGCACGGGACATCACGGGACCCCCCCTGATTAATCAGCGTGCTGGTCCTTGAAGGCGGTGTGGAGGGCTGCGTATTTTTTGGACACCTGCCGGGTTTCGAGGGCAAGGTTTGTAGAAGGAACAGAATGCCGCTCTAGTTTGGCGGTGAAAAGAAAAGTGGTGTGGTTGGCTGCTCCTCTCTCTTTTCTGGGGAGGCGTCAAGGGAGGCGTCTTACGGGGCTTTGGGAAGGCCCCAAAAAACCATTGGGTCGGTGTGTTTGCCCAATCCTTGTTAGCCCTTTTCGTTGGTATTGGTGGAGTTCAGGAGGCAAACGGAGAAATTGGATTGGCAGCAGCACAACGAAGACGGCAAGATGAGGTCTCAGCAACGCAGATCTGTCGACCGGTGCGAGTTCAGAGGTAATTGCTTGTTGCATCCAGTCGTTAAATTGCCCCAAACGCTAGGTCCCCCAGTAAAACTTTGACCAACTTTTCGAGGGAGGGTTTCTTGTAAAATAGGCTACAGAAAAAAGGGCACTCTCTACGGGAGGACCTCGGGCGCATGCGTAACGCTTTTACGCGTGGCACGCATTTAAATCTTCACGTTACGCATGGCTGCATCATTGAGCCCACGTCTCTCAACAACTTTCTGGTGAGATGTCCAGGTATGAGTATGCATAACACCTTGTCGCCAGGCCTTGACATCAGATTTTTGCAAGTGCAACCATGTTCCTCAATTGCTTGAGTGAGTTTCACACCGGCCTTTCGATTAATGCCAAGCCATGAGCAGTTGCGCTTGGCACCTTACAATCACAGCGGTTGGACACGTGTGCCCTTGCCATGCTCATACCTGGACCTTAATGGACAGAGCAGATGCGATCACGGCTAGCTGCCATAGTCTCAAGCAGCCCTCGACTCGACGAATCCGTTGCCCCAGTAAGGCTCGAATACAAGCTACTTGCGTGCGAGCCCGGAATTGTCCTCGAAAAAATATGTTGACGGGTTACTTGGGTATGTGCCAAGATCGGACCGCAAACATGGCGGTGTTCCGTTGGTTTCAAGAGCCTAAGAGCCTCCAGGCTCTTGGAGAGGCCGGTAGTGCCAGCCTCAGTTGGGAATGCATCTTTCGGTTGCGTGGGTCCAAAGTCGAGTTCGAACACATCTCCACAATAAATAGGCGGGCCCATGTCCTTCTGTAGCAGGCTGTTCTTTTGGGAGAATCCGGGGGGTGGGGGGCACCGATCTCCGGTCCGATTCGGGCGATCCGCGCAGGGGCAAAGTTCAGCCAAAAGGATTGGAACAAAACAAGATGAAGCAAGGCTATTTTTTGGGTCCCCCAGTGGTGCCGAGTAGTGCCCTTTTTTGGGGGAGGGTTCCCCTAAAATTGACAGAAAAAAGTTGGTACGCTTATTCTAACCTCTCTACTGGAGGACCTAGGTACCCTGGGTTCCTTTGGAAGGGATGAGCGACTGAAAAAGAGCCACCTGTGACGATGCAACTCGAGCAGACCCCCACCTCTGGGTTGAAGCGATTCCCAGGAAAAGAATGGCCTGGAGATTCAATTTGGATGACAATCCTGAACGGTAAGCAACGGTGGTTGTATGCACCATTATTTTAATGCTGGATTGAATCCCGGGGTGAGATCATGGAAGATATGCTGCTAGGAACCCTCGGCACTCCGTCAGTGGATCCAGGCGGGCCCGGTCGGTTCGAGGTCGAACTATCTGTCAATGGCTGGAGAGCCACGCACCCGCGAAGTTTTTGGTTGGTGTTTCTCGTGGAGGTGGGGGTGGGGGTTGAATCAGCTTCCCACCATAGTTGGATTGCTGGTTTGGGGATGTGAACCCCCTTGTTCTTGTCGAGGGTACGTGGGAAAGTCAAGCACCAAACCACCAATCTCCACAAAGAAGAACACGTTCCATCTGTGTTGTGTGTGTGTGTGTCTTCTCCCCTTCTTGGAGCTTGGGGAGCTAAACGGAGCGGGCCCTCGTGTCTCCGGTTTTCGGTTTTGGTAGGGAGATGGAAGATGCTGCTGTCGAAGGTCTCATTGGCGGCCCACTCTCTACGTGCTTGTGTGTGTTTGTCTGTCTGCCCAGTGACAACATTCGCCGTATGCTCCTTGGTTCTGAGAGTGCGTTTGGATGGAAGTCTTGCGGGCGACATAGCTTGGCTGGGGCCACTCTTGAGCGTCATCTGCCAAGTATGGGCAAAATTGGGGACCCGCCGCTGAAAAAGACAGACGCAAGCGCCGCTTCAGTGGTGAGCCTTGCCACTTGCCAGGCGAAACCAGACCGGCTGAGCGAAGAGTGCGACAGGCAGGGCTGTAAAGCTTCACGAGGAGGGTTTGCCGAAGGAACGCTCCTCGAAGGTTCGAAGACCATGTTGGGATCTGACATCATGCCATGTTCATGTGAATCAAAGCTGCTGTGGAATGGCTGCTCGCTTGATTTGGAGCCTTCTGCCCAGGCAAGGAGATGGGAATCTGACACTCCTTGACACATTTCACACAGCTGTCACCATGCATATCGCCCAGCATGTTGCGCTCTTGACTCAAGTCTTGCCCAAACATGACATGCACTCAGCTATTTCACCACCACCACCACCACCACCACCACCACCACCACCACCACCACCACCACCACCACCACCACCACCACCACACACCACCCACCACCACCAACCACCACCAGCTCACCACCACCACCACCACCACCACCACCACCACCACCACCACCACCACCACCACCACCACCACCACCACCACCACCACCACCACCACCACCACCACCACCACCACCACCACCACCACCACCACCACCACCACCACCACCACCACCACCCTCTTTCTGTTTTCTATTCGGCCAGGGTAAGGCTTTGGATTTGACGAGGATGACACGATTAGCCATGCGGAAACTACAAGATTGGCAGGCACGTGAACATGTCCAAGCTGCAGCTTGAGATTGTCAAGTCCGATTCTGCCCCATGGTTCTTCCACCTTGTGCGGCGGCTCTTTGACTAGGTCCCCAGTAGTGCCCTTCTCTCCCTTTTTTGGGGGGGAGATTCGGTTCCCCTACTAACATAGACAGAACAAAGATCGGGTACCCGTATTCTAACACCTCTCAAATCGGACCTATGTCCAGGATCAGGTCTTGCGCCCCCAAAGGCACCAGCCAGCCCTGAGACGAAGCAGCTTTGCCCAAGGTGGAAGGAGTCCGCGACAGGTTTCTGTCTTTGTTTTGAGGAGCCCGCGTTTTGGTTTGCTTTTACCGGGAAATCCGAGGGAAGACGGTGGCGCCATCCGATTCCTGAAGGGACACCCACCAGGACGCCGGTTTTTTTTGCTGCGGATGGTGGCGAAATCCGAATCCATTTCGCACCGTTCAGGACCCTTGGTTTCGGATTCGATTCCCATGGTCAACTTTTTTTCTAGTAGTGCCCAGTAGTGCCCTTTTTGGGGGGAGGGTTCCCGTACTAAAATAGGCTACAGCAAAAGGGTACCCTTATTCTAACCTCTCTACTGGAGGACCTAGTCAACATCACCAAACATCACGGCTTCATTCCCATGGCTTCATGAACCTTGGTGCCTGAGAGACTTTCGCAACCATCCCACAGTAGTACCCTGTAAGTACCATCAACAGACATCCACGGTTTCATCTCTTTTCATGGCTTCATCGACCCGTGGCTTCGCGTTTTTCCCATGGAAGTTCCACCCATCCCATGGGCCACCGCACGCCGCACGCCGGCTGCGAGGTCGGACACGAGCGGCTTTCGCAGCCCGGTTTTCGTCTTCAGCCCGGGCCAGGCCTCCCAGGCAGAGGACCCAAGCCAGCGGAGAGCGTGGCTTGGACCCTTGCAGTACCCTCCCACCAACTGACATGGAAGTGCAAAAAGGCCAACTCACCAAGAGGAAGTCGTCTTTCTACAGGGATCTGTGCACTTCCATGGAATCGCTGGTGGGAGGATAGCCAGAAAAAAAGGGAGTTCACCAAGCAGATGGTGTGGGGCGATAACGCTTGTTGAAGCGAAGTCTGAGGGTCCAAGTCGTTTTTGGGTCTAACTTTTGCGGGTGGGTTCACCAGGCAACTCTTTGCTCGCCTTCACTTTCCTTCGCATTCAACCGTTGTCACCTTCCTTCAGGATCTTGGACATGACCAGCTATAATCAGCTACAAAGAAAGCACTGCTTCAGCACTGCTCCAGTAATTTGAGAGTATGTGTCAAAATAGATGGATCTCGCAAAAATTGCGTGGCGTTCCTTTGCTTCCCTGTAAGCCAACCCCACAGACAGACCCACAAATTGGCTTCCCTTTAACCCCAAAAAGGGACCCTAGACCCTCAAAACTCCCTTCACCAAGGGTTATTGCCCCACACATTTGGGCTTGCTTGCCTGAGTGGGCAACAAGGGCTTAAACTATTATCGCTCTACATTTGAGCAATGAAAGCGAAATGAAGAAGCCATTAAATCAATGGGGGGTTCATGTAACCGCCATTGATTCCGCTCAGGATTGTCCTCCCAATTGGGTCCCCTTGGGCCATTCTTTTGACAGGTGCGTGCACGCGATAATTATCCGTCCCGCTCGCCAGAGGCGAAATTTAGCATCAACAGGCTCCGCAAGTTGCCTCTTGTCTAGGTCCCCCGGCTAGGTGCCCTGCTCTCCCCTTTTTTGGTTGGGAGGGTTCCCCTACTAAAATAGACAGAACAAAGGGTACCCTTATTCTAGCCTTTCCACTGGAGGACCCTAGTGGAGTATTGCCTTTTATCGAGGTTTGTAGCTGGATATCCATCATGAGCGTACCGGGCAGACGGTCTTTGGGTTTGCATCTTCCTGTGTCCCGATTTGCTTGTTGTGTGGTTTGCTTTCTTTGTTCTTTTTTTTCTCGTTCTGCCTTTGTTTTCGCTGTCCTTCGAGTGGTATCATCCGTATTGTCTCTACCTTTTTGTATTCGCCTGGTTGAGCCTAGGGCTTCTATTTCTGAATTGTTCGTGACTTAGTTGAGCTTCGGCTCCTTTGTCTTACATCGCATGGCCTCCCACGCTTTACATCCACCTGAGGTGAGTGTGCTGCTTGGGCCAGACCTTGTGCTCGTTTCGCTTGCTGTGAGTGTTTTGGGTTTGTCTTTGTGGGCCTCTACCCAGTAGAGGCCATATTCTCCTTAAGATCGCATAGTTTGCTGCTACTCCCAACGAAACAGCCACTTTGGCCATGCCTCATGAGGAAATCATGTCGGTGGTGTCCTCCCTTCTTCCAAAGAGGGCTTCCCCCTGGCTCCTTCGTGCGCGTGTCGGGCAGGAGCCGGCGCAGCCGTTGCGTTTCCGCAAGATCACGCCTGTCTGGGACGAGGAGAGTGTGGAATCCGGCAAGGTCCTTGAGCCTTTGAGCCCCCAAGCTGAGATGGACTCAGAGCTGCAGGAGCCCAAGTCCAAGCCACCTGAAGCGGCCGAACTGGATCTGAAGCTGGATCCGGATGTACAAGCTCGCGTGGATCGGAGACACTCCATTTGGGAAGTGCGTCGGAAGCGCCGGGTCTTAAGGGCTTGGCGCTTGCTTTGGACGGCCTCGGACAAGGAAGATGACTTGAGTGAAACGGCCGACCCTCTCATGCCCTCGGCCGAAGAGTTCGAGGCCTTCGTCCACGGACCCACCGATTGGTCAGATGACTCTGGTGAGGTCAAGCCGGAGAAACCGAGTCCTCCAGCATCTCCTGCCAGCTACATGGAGAGCCACGAGCCGGAGGAGACCAGGCCTCAGCAAATTTCCACCAGCACCATGGAGCTGGGACAGGAGCAGCCAAGCCCTTCCGTGTCTCCATGTGTCAGCTACCAGGTGCCAGAGGAGAAGCCAAAGCCGCGTGTGCCGCCAATCACCAGCGACAAATTGGACAGCGTCGCAGACGCGGAAGAGGAGGCGGTCAACGTGGTGCGCACTGGTACGCCGGGGCCTCGGACGGGCCAAGGAAGCAAGCAGCTGACGCAAGTCCTGGCCCCAAGCCAACCCCCCTCCCCGGCCACAAGCAAAGGCCCCCAGCCCCAAGAATAGGGTCCAGGGCAGATTCTACACGTCTCGGATTTTTTTCGGGGGGCATCCATGTTCATCTGCCGGGCCTGGGGCTTGAACCATTGCGCAAGGCTGACGGCTGCCTGACAGCGCCCCAAAATGGCCATGACCGAGGGGGGTTCCGGTTTTTCCCCTTTTTGGATCCTCAAGGCGATCGGTTCAATGGAAACCACCAGCAAATTGCAACCTTTGAAGGGGAAAACTCCAGTCACTCCGCGGTAGGACGTTGAACAGCTTGATTCGCATCCCTCTCGCCGCCCAGGGTGTCCCGCAGCTCGCTTTGGGGCCTGCCGGGGTTTCTTGGCTGGCGGGGGAGAGTTTCACTGGCTTCGTGTTGGAAGCCTTACGCAGTTCCGAGAGTTCGCTCCTGAGATCGTATCTTCTCATTAAAAAAAAAGGAATGTCGCATTGTCTCATACTGTAGTGTGATTTACTTGGTCGCATTTTCTCATACTGTAGTTATTGTACAGTACTTGTCCTTTTCTATGTATTTTGCCCGGGTAAGCGTTCACACCTGTTCAACTAGTTCACGTGTTTATCATGATGTGCGTTCCACATGCCTCCCATTCTTTGCACTTCTCCATGTGTCTGACTTTTGCTACCTGTTTTGCTGCTTTCAACAAAGCTACACATCCAAGTGGAGCAAGTGAGGCCTATATGTTGCAGTTGTTTACTTTCCAGTTGCGCGTTGTTGTTTGGGGTAGGGAAGCTGGTGCAATTGCACCAAGAACAATCCCAGCACCCATTGCAGATGATCTTTCCAGGACACAGCCCGTTTTGGTTTTACACAGGGAGAACCCATTAGTTGGCCATTCCTGTCAAAAAGCCTTTCCTGTTGACATACTTGATCCCGGGCAAACTGCAGCGGGTTGTGCTAAAGATTGGACATTTAGCATTGGGCTGCCCTTTCCACAAGAAGCCAAAGATATGATCCTGACGAGTGTGGAATTTTCGGGTATGTACCCTGCATAGCCCATGCGGCCCGTGTAATTTCCATGGGTAGCCATTTTTGGGGGTAAGTCCATTTGGGGTATGCAAGTTTGTTCTCAGACACCCCAAATCAACACACCTCGAGCCTCGAGAAGGTCCGGCAGTTTAAAAGTGAAGGAATCAAATTCAAACTCGACAGCTCCCCCTTGGTTCACCAGAGGGTATTCATCCTGGATCCCAACTGGGCAGGCAGAAAACACGCAGAACTCCACCTGTCTATGTCATAGCTGGATTGCCACATTCTGCTAGTTTGCGAGTCTCCACGGGTGCTTGCACCATACCCCTTTTACATACCCGGGCAGATGAACCCAAAAGGCCTGCTGATGTTCATACTCCTCTCCCCAACAGGAGTATATGCTCCTCAAAAAGCGGTTGGAAACCAGGAAAAAACCAAGGGGTATGAACAAGAGGTATGTACTTCGCCCCTTAGATAGTCTTGGGCCCCAAAGAACCACTCGGTAGGATCGGAATCTCCGTTTCGAGAACTTCTGGAGCTTCCATGTCAATCTGCAAGGGTATCTCAGGTTTTGGAACGTCACTGTTGCCAGGTTGCTTTTTGCTTTCCGTGTCTTTAGGTTCTGTTGCTGCTTGTTGTTGTTGTTGTTTTTTTAAGGCAGGGCGGTGAAAAGCCACGAAATTTGGCTACCATACTGTAGATACACGCAACGAAATGAAGCCATTGGAGACCGTTTGTTGGTATTTGCGGAGGGGTGATGCCAGGGTGTCTTAGGTGCTGCGAGAAGCGGGTGTCGCAACCATCCACGGTACCAAGGGTTGGAATGGGAATCACTGCATCCATCTTCAGGCCGACGCCCCGGGACATCGCGGCGTCAGCGCGAAGCTTACGCCAGGTGTTTGGTGCATTTTGCTTGTTGCCAACGAATGGGTTTTCCATTAAGCCACTAAAAGTTACTAGCAGGGGAGCAGAAAGCAGCCGAGATGTGTTTGACTCACGCGTATGATGAGTGGACCTTGTCACCCGGTGGTTTTGTTCACCCTTGTTGGCCGGCTTTTTGTTTGTCCCAGGTCCCCCCCATAAAAAAGAAGATCTGTTATTTTCCAGGTCCTTTGGGCAAGACTCACTTGTCAGCGAAGCGAGCTTTTCAATCTGGTGGTTTTCCGAACCATTTTTTAGTCAGGGTCTCGAAAGCTGAATCTGTTGTTTGTTCCAAGTCCTTTGGCCTCTTGCCGGTTCAAGAGCTTCGAAATTGGCCAGGTTCGCGGAATCGCGTCAACATAACGGGTGCAGGCGAATCCTCTGCCATGCGTGGTTTATTCAACCAGTGTATTCTTAGATTTTCCATCACTGGTCCAAAGTGGAACTTCTCCATCCACAGTATTTCCGTTTAGATTGAGGGCAAATGGGAAACCGTCCATTACCAACCAACCACGGAACCCGCAAAAAAAGCAAAAACCACCTAGAATTCTCTGGGAAACTTCCGTCCGCCAAGCCACCAGTCCAAAGCGAGTGGAGGGATCGGATCCGAGGAGGCCCCGCAGCGCAGCAAGAGCTGCCCGCCGGAGCGCCGGGCGCGAGGCAGGCGAGTTCGCGTCGGGTTCCGATGGCGCGCCGGGAGCTTCTTTTTTTTCCGCCGCCAAGAAGGCGGAAAAATCGGGTCCCATAGCCTAAAGGAATCAGGGCGCCTGGAAGAAACAGAGAAACACACAGGGAATGAAACCCCGCGCCCCCTTTCGTCAAGGGAAAGGAGAGTGGCGCAAGTTGAAGGAAGAAGCAGGGCATCTAAAATGTTGGAACCTCAGGCTTCCCCTGAGCTGTGCCAGGCTTTGTAAAGGTGGAACAAGGACAACCTCAGAGCCTTGAGGATTTTGAGAACTCCCTCCTGAAGCTTGGCGCTCTGTTGGGGGTCGATCAGTATTATGTTCAGCCCCCCAAATGACCGTCCCAATGTACCACGCCTGACCTTGGTTTTCAGTGGCCCCCATTTCGCCAAGATCGGTGTGGGGTGTTTTGAGCCATTAGCCCAGGCTCAAGTACACCTGGGGTTCAGCTTGGTGTTGGAAACCCGGCCTGGAAGATAAGCGACACAGCGGTCAAATTGTGTAGTGAACTGGAGGGATCCTTTGCTGAGCCGGTTTTGCGGCCAGTTTGGGTCATACCTCCAAGAAAAAAACACACGGAATACAAGGCTTCTCTCTACAGGGCTGTCACCAGCCCGGAAGGGACCATCTCTCATAGGTGTCGTTTTTAGGTTTGTTTCGTTAAAAATAGATGGCACCGGTTTAGATGGGGTTTATTCCATTTACCAGGACCATCTATTTTTCCAAAAGGCCACCTATGCCATCTCTGTCCAGAGTCCAGAGTTGATGAATTTCTCTGAGGTCATAGCCTCTTTGCAGATCTGCGCTGGTCAGCCCAAATCTTGCAAGAGTGATACATAAGGGCTCAGAAGCTTCCTGCGTTTTGTCACAGGTCAAAAGGCTGAAGCTAAACGAAAGAGAGTGCAGCGTGATTGAGTGTCACAGTGTTGTCACCTTTGCTCTTCGGGTTCTCCAGAAATCTGGAAAAACGAGGCAAGAGTCGTCGAGTGGCCGTGGTATTGAGAGCACCAGAGAGCAGATTCGCCTCCCAGAGCTGGGCCAGAGCTCTTTTGATGGGTCAAAAGCTGAAGCTCCTTAGTATGCTTGGATATTCCAAAGCGGCATTCCTTCTGGCGTTCCCTTTAAAGACCCTAGGAAAAACACAGGGACACATCCATATCCGAGCTGGTTGGAAGCCATCAACAAATACACCTCCATCAAATTGAAAGCAGCTGCGAGTACGTAGAACAGCCCAGTGTGTTTCTTCCCGCGTTTTTTTCTTCGGAACCTCAGGCTGTAGCCCGTCGCATAGTGTGCGGAAAAAGGCAGCCCAGAGTGTTTTTTCGGTCTGGAGCCGAAGGTTGGGTCCAGCCCCACATCTATGTAGAACAGCCCAGTTGTTTTTGGTTTGGAACCAACCTCAGGTTGTAGCCCCACATCGCATGAGTCGTTTTGATCGGTCAGCCGAAGGTTGGGTCCAGCCCCACATCGCGAGTGAGTCGCATGCGTCAGGACTGCGAAGGCGGCTCGTGCCCTTGGTCATCTCAACAGGCGGCTCGGTCGGCGACCTTGATCGGTGGATGTTTCGGCGGCTTTCCCATGCCCTTTTGACCAGGATCCGTTTGCTCTGGGAGATTCCTTGAAGGGGGCATGTCCTGGAAATGAAAAGCTTAGCCACGATGCTGCCTTACAAGCCAAGCCCCTCATGCAAGTTCAATACATCAGTACATTGTGGTTGCTTGACGGGGAATGTGGGCACATGGCGGGCGAGGCGAACGCATCACTTCGAGAGGTGTGCGCAAAATATCCCAAAACATGCTGAGGACTCACCAGTTCTCTCGTGTCATTTAGGGTACTTGCGTATCTTTGGACAGTGGCTGCGAGAATATGCTCACCCCACCGCCAGCTCCACTTCGACACTAGCAAAGAGAAGGCCTAGCGGGCCTAGCCCCCGCGAGCTGAATCTTGTGGAGCGAGCCCACAAATCGTACCCAGGTGTAGTGAGAGCAACTTGCAGGACCAGAGAGGTTTCAGAAATCCGCTGACAAAAATGCCCGGGACGCTTGGTCCAGGGCGGATGCCGGCAGCTTGGGTTTGTCAAGAGAGGGATGCATCTCATGATGGTTCCTGATCATTTGCATAGATGTGGCTGAAATGCCACTGACCCAGCCAGTGCCAAAAGGATGCATGCTTGGTACATCGCTAGCTGATCTGGCAACTTGACCATTGAAGCTTGAGCCCCAAATCGAGGATTTGCCTAGGTCCCCCAGTAGTGCCCTTCTTTCCCCTTTTTTGGGGGAGGGTGGCGGGCGGGCAATTCTGACATAGCCAGCTGCAGCATACCAAAAAAACCCTGCAACCCTCCGGGCCCCAAAAGGGAACCCTCCGGATTCCTCCATGAAAGCTGCTCCGAATCAGAGCTGATTTGGGCAGTCTTAAGTAAGATTGATCTTGATGCAAAGGATTGCTTTCAAAGCCACCGTGCCCAGCGCTATGTGGCACTGCAATCAGGATTGCGATGGGTTGATCAATATTCCGTCCGGCCCCCAAGTAACCATTGGCAACTTTCCCCGTCCTCGTTTTGGTAGCTTTTTTGCTCATGGTCATCCCAATGCATCACGGACCTTTTGATCCAGCCCCCACGTCGGGGGGAAGGGGGGCGCGGGGGGGGATGGCGCCACGTCGCAGGCTTGGCCACTGCGCCGAACTCCAACATCCCCTCGCCGAACTCGGTGTTCCCCACGTCGGGTTTCTCAGATCTCAAAAAACGGTTTACCGGCCCACAAAAAGCCGGGGCCAAAGCAAAACCAAGGAATGAACGGGACGGCCAAAAACCGCGGACAAGACCTGTTGGTAAGTTTCAAGAAATAGGGCCTTCTTCTTGCATCGCCACAACCAGTGATGTCTTTTTGGTTTCGGGGGGGTGTCAGGTTGCTAAACCCTGTCACATATGTAGCCAAAGACCCACGCCGGCACAGCACCCACCGAGGCCATTTGGAGTCGCTTGTGTGTTTTCCGGCGACCTTTGGGAGAGCTGTTTGCCAAAGTCAAGTCGAAATCAACGAAACAATGAATCAAC